ACGGTTTTATCATTATTTGTATTATCATTAGTAGTAGTAGTAGTAGTAGTAGTAGTATCATCATTATCATTATTAATAGTAGTAGTAGTATTAACGTTAATACGTGTTCTATATACTGTATGTTCTGCTTTAATGTCTATTGTTACTGGTGTTGTTATTTTCATTATTTTCATCATCATCATCATCATCATCATCATCATTATCATCATTATATATTAGGTCCAGCGCTAGTGAGAATAGCAGGACAACGGGAAGGGAATAACATTATCGGAGTTTTAATAAGATTCTTTTCACCGACAAAAGCAAAATACAAACCAAACTAACCAAACAACAAACCAAACAACAATCAAAACATATAACATTGCTGATATAAATGCTTACAGTACATAGTACTTGTATATCATATTCAGAGAGCTCTGTACATGTTTACACAATGGGTGAATGATGATTTTGAGATATGACGACATACGAGAAGTGTTAATCCAAAGAAAAGTAGGTATAATAAGGTGATAATATGAAATTAAATTTAAACGAAATTTGCTAAAATTACATTTTACAATGAATAAATAGTATGTCACTACATAATTTCTATACAACCCATGAATGAAAAAAATCTATTCTGTCATTATTAACGAAGTATATGAAAGTTTATGGACTTTTAATTACAGAGCAAATCGGAGGGGAGCTCGTAAGATATTCACAGAGTTGCCAATTTGTGTTTGATTAATCGCAACTTCAAAAATTCATAATATTTCTTATTTTCAATCAGAATTTGCTCAAACTAGGACTGACCTGTTTCTCTTATTTTTCTGCTTCTATTCTAACCAACCTAATATCATGGTTGACTTACTCTTTATAGCTAGGTGATACTAATATCATGTTTCATTTTATTACCGAACCCTTTACGCTAGGTAAAATGTAACTGGCTTGTGAAACCATTAAAGAAGAATACAAATCAAATAATTGAAAATTAAAGAGTTAGATATGCGTTATGCTATGACATCTAGCTCTTCAAGCCGTTAGCATAGATTTCTTGCATGCTATTATCGGAGATGAATAATAAATGAAAAATATATACCTCATCATATGTCTCTGACCATCCCTTGTAGGCTTCCTCAAGGCGCTTTAGATCAAGATCCCCAGAGGTTGCAGAATACAAATTCTTCCAATGTAAATCATCTTCACCAGTCGCCATTGACATTGTGTTGTGATATATCCAATTCTCCAATAAAGCGCTTGAGGACAACAACTGCTGACTGGCATGTTCTGAGCATGGACTTGGTCTGGGGCTGCTACACTATATGCTCCCTATTATACTCAGTCAGTCCGCAGAGAATCTCGTTCCGCGCGTCCTGCGCTGTAATTGTGTCATAGCCGTTAGAAATGGCATGGTTAGTAGTTTGTGAATTGGAGCATGCGATATAGCACAAACAGAGTGGATATTGTATGTATACATACATGCCAACTGTTCAGATTAAAGAGGAACATTCCTCTTTTTGGGAGAAGATAATTATCATTTTAATGCAGGTGTTCCTCTTCCTGTACAAATTTGTCTGTAGTATTGAATAGGAGAGTTAGGATTGTTCCTCTTTTTTTTGAAAATAGCATAATTTGTACAGATTTCTGATTTTCAAATGTTGGCATGTATGTGTACATGTATATGCTTTTGATAAGGGACTGCCAGTGTCAAGGTCGGTCATGTAGTCATCAGAGGGGCGTCTATTTTTCAGGCCTCTGATTGATCAAATTTAGTCAGCGCTGACAGTTGTCGGTGGACAAATGTTGATGAAACGCCCCCCTGGTCTGAATAGAGCGAGTGTCGACTGCTGACTATGCTCCCTGTGGTCAGGGGCGTCGCTAGACCTTTTTCAGTGGGGGGGTGTAGAGGCCAACGATTACCGACAAAAGTAGCCACCAATTACCGACAAAATTAAATTTCCAATATCTACAAAGTCAACCCTATAAACCTGGGGCCGAAGGCTAATTTGTTTTTCCTATGGACTATCTATAGTACTTGCATATGCGCAAAATGGTCATTTTCCTCGACGACATTAATATACAAATTATTTCTTAAATTTAGTCAGCATCATAGCTATATATTTTAATGCAGGCGCGGAGCTAGGATCTTATTTTAGGGAGGGGCGGTAGTGAGCAAGAGAATCACTTAAAAGCGCGCTCATAAGGGGGTGTGGGTGATGAGCCTCCCGCGCGAAGCGCAAAAGCTTAGACGTTTCCTTAAATTATTAGAGAAAGAAGACGATTCGTTGTACCGTTCTCGATTCGTCTAAATGAAGTTTCCTCTTCCGCGCGAAGCGTGGAATTTTTGGCGTTTCATCACAATATAAAGAAAGGAAAATGATTCGTCGTACCGTTGTTGACTCTTTAACCTTGTTTGAATTTAGTTTCCCCGAAAATTTTAAACCTCTGATTTCTTTAGCTGATATTATAGGAAAGTGAAACTTCGAGAAAATACAAGTATTGAAGTTGTAAGTCACTCTCGAAGTCGTCACAGCGGATAAGAAGTCGCAGTTCGTAGGGAAAAAAACTTGTCGGCCGACCGACAATATACATCTCACCGACTTCAAACTTATGCATTGATGAGGATCGAGCAAGAATACCGACACAGCTGACCCGACACAGCAACATATTTACCCGTGTCTTTCTTGCTCCCTCGACGAGACGACTCCACCCAACAACCCCCTTTTCTCTTTTACTCCCACTCCTCCTCTCTCAGACTCTTACCTCCCCTCTCTCTCCTCTCTTTCATCCCCCGTTTCTTTTGTTTCCCTTTCACTCTTTTTTCTTCTTTTTTCTTTTCTTTCTTTTCTTTCTTTTCCTTTCTTTCCTCTCCCCCCTCTTTTTCTTTTTTCTCTTTCTTTCTTCTCTTTTCTTTCCTTTCTTTTCCTTTCTTTCCTTTCTTTTCCTTTCTTTCTTTTCTTTCCCTTTTCTTTTTTTCTTTTCTTTCCCTTCCCCTCTCTTTTTTTCCCTCTCTTTTTTTCCCTCTCTTTTTTTTCCCTCTCTTTTTTTCCCTCCCCCTTTCCTCTTTTTCCCGACGGCAGCACAATTTTACCGACAATATCCTGACAGGTGGGGGGGGGGGGTGCGACACCCCTTTGGCGACGCCCCTGTGTACACCCTTTTGTTGTCTGCACCTTCACCTGCTGTCACAACACATCCCATCCCAGTATAGCTTGGAAAAGCTGCTTCAGGAATTACCACATCAAGTATCAAGTATCAAGTATTTTAAATTGGACTTAACTACATGTATGGCAGGCCGATCATGCCACTGTTTTCTCTCACCAACTACTGGCATTGGTCTCTCAAGGGACGTACAAATCATGGTCACAAATCTACAGAATTTACATTTTTTGATAGTTCATTATTGAATGAAAAAATATCTAAATATCATTCATAATGGTGAAAGCAACCAGTGGCATGAATGGCCTGCCAAGTTCAACTTAAAGTCAATCTTAGTCTTTGTTAAAACTCCCCTGGTGCGTATCCAGGAGTCGATGGGAAAGGCCAAAGGGTCATGATATACTTCACTGTTTTCACATTCCTTTTTTATCCTTTCCTGTCCAGGCAACTTCAGGAAGTGCAGCAGGGAAAGCTGATTCATTTAGTATTAGTATATTTGTTCATATTGTCATTGTATCCTTTCATTTGAATGCCAAATGAAAAAAATTATAATTTTAAAATTCCAAATGAGCAAGAAAGACAGATCACCAATTTTTAATAATCTTGGTCAAACAATAGCGACTGCCATAAGGTAATTTTCACTGGGAACCTTTTCCAGGGGTAGTTGTTGCAGAGGTAATAATTCTTGGAGTACACTGTAGGCCTAGCTGCATACTTGTCAGGGATGTATAGTTGTCTGGCAGTCAACGTCCGAAGAGTAACATTTGCATGAGGGTTTTTACTAGGAATAATTTGGATTTACAAAGTATTTACAAGGATTAACAAAGATGAGCAAATATTGATATTTTTGAGAGTTTTATCTCGACAAGCAGTGGCGTAATGAGCAAAAAAATTGGGGGGGGGGCAGAAAGAAGAAAAAAACATGAAAAATTATGTAATTTCAGCATCATTTGTAAATCACTAGTATCGAATTAGAAATAAACCATGTTTTAATTTTATTGGGGGGGGGGGGATTGCCCCTTCCAAGCCAACCCCCCCCCCTTCCATCCATCGTTACGCCAGTGTTGACAAGGGAGCAAAAGTCAAAAAAGAAAATTAGCATATTTATGAATCGTGAGACTTGTGGGTTACAAAGAAATGTTGTAGTGTATTGACACTGCACAAGGTAAAAAGGTGAAGGTACACAGAGTCCATGCATGAGTGTGCATTCCTTCATTCATTCTTGCAAAGCTAATATCAAAGGTTGTGGGCCTACATGTAGGGTATGTAAGGGGAGGGACCCACCCCCCCCCCCCTCCCTTTCACCGAATCCACAAGTCTTGTAACTGGAACTCTGCATTATTTTCTACATTCATATGTAGAAGAAAATTAATTGTGCTAGATCATAAGAATGCCTCGTAGGAGGACGATTAGGTTATAATTTTAAAGGCTGAATAACCATAGATCATGATCCCTAAAATAAAGTCGTGCTCAGAACCAATATTGTCAGAAAAGGGGTTTGGAGTTGAAATTTTCCCAGGCTTTAAGTTCTCATATAAATATATATGATTTTGTGAATCCTGCTCAGAGCTGGCCATTCCCCAGGTTATCTCAGTGGCAGGGTAGGGGGCGGGTGTCCAGCAAGAGAAGAATTTTTGTTGTTATGCCATATGTTATCCTAGAATAGGGTCTATGCCCCCCCCCCCCCTCCCCTCAAATAATACATCAGTACAGTATGTCCAGTTATTGTTTTTCACGTCACCCCAATGCTCAGAAGTTTAGCCTTGATCATCCAAGCCCAGCATCTACCCTCCCACGTGTATGCCTCTGTCTATGCCGGCCTAATCTCATTATTCATAACTGTTATATTTACGGGGTAACTTGTGTAGCACAAAGCTAATAAAGATTCATATTGCTATAGTACCTTTGAACATCTTTTAGATTAAGGGTGTACTGCGGCTACGTGGAGAGTGCTACTGTATTCCAATCGAGAAACAACTTCAGTTAAAGAATCTTTCCATTCACCAACAAAACATACTTGTATTCCACCATGCCTTCGTATAAGCTTACATACTTTGATTGCCGCTATAATACTGAAACTACCCGACTGATATTTGTGGCTTCTGGCACAGAATTTGAGGATATTCTACTGCATATGGATCACAAGGATTTTTATGTTCTAAAAAGCACTGGCAGTAAGTTTGTAAAGTCTAAATGTGAGTTCAGACAATGATCTGCTGTCATGGCATTGGCGGTATTTAACATTATTAAACGATGCCTTTAATAGAATCAATATTTAGCAATTTTGTGTGAGGAAAATCACCAAAAATTTCAGATAATCGTGCATGCGTCCGCACGGTGTTGGCGTGCCATTTTTTTTTACATTCATAGCACTGCATAGGAAATTACTGATTTATTCCCCAAATTACTTATTTTGAGCCTTGTGATTACTGATTTTCTGTTCTGGAGGTTGCCAACTCTGCTCTATGATCTTCAGAAGGGTGGCTTGTGATGACAGGTTGTCCTGATAGCCCATGGCTTGAAGAGTTTGCAGGCACACTATTAGCTCATCCGCCATCTCCCGAAGGGCCTTCTCATTATGGGGTTGGATCATCTCGCCCTTTAATAGTAACTTTACGTAGCCAGAAATGTTGGTGCACTAGGAATTTGGCCTTCTAATATCTTTCAGCTAGATCCATCACCACACAGCCATGCAGCATCCATTTGACTTCACTGGTACAATACCTAAAGATGAGCAAATATAAATATTAATATTTCTGAGGGTTTTATCTTGACAAGGGTCGAGGAAAGGTGAAAAAAAATTTTTTTTATGTGTCCTGGGACTTGTGGGTTACGAGTAGAACATTGCACAAAGTACAAAGTCCATGAGAGTGAATGTATTCCAACAAAAGGCTGATATCAAAGGTTGCACGAGGTAGGTTAGGGTGCAAAAGGGGAGGGAACCCCCTCCCCCACCTTTGCTCCGAATCCACAAACCTTGTAACTGTAACTTTTGCTTTATTTTCAACATTATGCTGGAAAAAATCAATTGTGCTAGATCACAAGAATGCCTCCTAGGAGGACGATGAGGTCATAAATTTCAAAGGCTGAATAATAATCCCTGTAATAAAGTCATGATTGTCAGAAAGGGGGATTTGAAGGTGGAATTTCCCCCGGCTTTAACTTCTCATATAAATATATATGATTTTGTGTGTCCTGCTCAGTGCTGGCCATTCCCTAGGTTATCTCAGTGGCAGGGTAGGGGGTGGGTGTCCAGCAAACGAAGCAATTTCTTTTTTATGTCATGTTGTCCAGCAAACGAAGCAATTTCTTTTTTATGCTATGTTATCCAGGCTATGCCCCTCCCCCCCCCCTCCTCCCCCACCTCTCACCTGAATCTGCCTCTGAAGAGTGCATTAAGATAATGAGCAATATGTCCAGTTATTGTTTTTCAATTCCACAACATCCCAATGGTCAGAAGTTCTGCCTTGACCATCCAAGGCCAGATCTACCCTCCCCCTTATGCCTCTGCCCAACTGCTATATTTACAGGGTAACTTGTGTACGTGTAACACGAGGCTAATAAAGATTCATATTGCTATAGTACCTTTGAACATCTTTTAGATTAAGGGTGTACTGCGGCTACGTGGAGAGTGCTACTGTGTTCCAATCGAGAAACATCTTCCTTTAAAGAATCTTTCCATTCACCAACAAAACATACTTGTATTCCACCATGCCTTCATATAAACTTACATACTTTGATTGCCGCTTTTATGGTGAAACTACCCGACTGATATTTGTGGCTTCTGGCACAGAATTTGAGGATATTCTACTGCATATGGATCACAAGGATTTTTATGTTCTGAAAAGCACTGGCAGTAAGTTTGTAAAGTCTAAATGTGAGTTCAGACAATGATCTGCTGTTCATGGCATTGCATGGCGGTATTTAACATTATTAAACAATGCCTTTAATAGAATCAATATTTAGCAATTTTGTGTGAGTAAAATCACCAAAAATTTCAGATAATCGTGCATGCCTCCGCACTGTGTTGGCGTGCCATTTTTTTTTACATTGATAGCGCTGCATAGGAAATTACTGATTTATTCCCCAAATTACTTGTTTTGAGCCTTGTGATTACTGATTTTCTGTTCTGGAGGTTGCCAGCTCTGCTCTATGATCTTCAGAAGAGTGGCTTGTGATGACAGGTTGTCCTGATGGCCCATGGCTTGAAGAGTTTGCAGGCACACTATTAGTAGTAGGAGACCAGCCTGTTGGTCAATTTTGACTTGGGCTGATTGGAACTACCGTATTTGAATTTCTATCCCTGTGTGACCTTTGTTGACCCCTCACGAAAATGCCTGGGATTTCCAAGGGGGCAGCCCAAGTCAAAATTGTTCGGTATTCATCAGGGAACACAAAAACACTTTCAACCTTTGTTCCCAGAGATTGGTCATGGAACCTACAGGCTGGTCTCCTACTATAGCTCATTCGCCATCTCCCAAAGGGCTTTCTTGTTGTGAGTTGGATCAACTAGTGTAACTAACTGGGCGGGGCTTAACGTGACCAGGAGACTTAAGGAGACCAGACCTCTCATTTCCGCTTCCATTTCATGATCGCAGTAGCAAACTGCGCACCTAAACGAAATTTTGCTGTAGAGTTTCAGGATTACTTTCTTCTGTGTGTGGACATCCTGGAATTTATATGATGATTATTTATACAACGTTTCTTGTGTGTGGACACTCTGAAATTTAAACGATGATTCTTTATACCACGTTTCGTTATAGAGTTTCGGGATAAATTGTTTTGTATGTGGACACGCTGTTAGTGACTTTACATAGCCAGGCCTCAGCAATGTTGAAAGAGTTCCTGAAATGTTGGTGCACTAACTAGAATTTGGCCTTCTAATATCCTTTAGCTGGACCCATCACCAAACAGCCAGGCAGCATCCGTTTGGCTTCACTGGTACAATACCTAAAGATGAGCAAATATAAATATTAGTATTTCTAAGGGATTTATCTTGACTGGGATCAAGGAAAGGTGAAAAGAAAAGAGGCGTATTAATGTGTCCTGGGACTTGTACAAAGTACAAAGTCCATGAGAGTGACTGTATTCCAACAAAAGGCTGATATCAAAGGTTGCACGAGGTAGGTTAGGGTGCGAAAGGGGAGGGAACAGGCCCCCTCCCCCACCTTTGCACCGAATCCACAAGTCTTGTAACTGTAACTTTTGCTTTATTTTCAACATTATGCTGGAGAAAATCAATTGTGCTAGATCACAAGAATGCCTCCTAGGAGGACGATGAGGTCATAATTTTCAGAGGCTGAATAATAATCCCTGTAATAAAGTCATGATTGTCAGAAAGGGGAATAGGAGTTGAAATTTCCCCCAGCTTTAAGTTTTCATATATATATATATATATATATATATATACATGATTTTATGGATCCTGCTCAGTGCTGGCCATTCCCCAGGTTATCTCAGTGGCAGGGTAGTGGGTGGGTGTCCAGCAAACGAAGCAATTTCTTTTTTATGCCATGTTATCCTAGAATAGGGGCTATGCCCCCCCCCCCCCTCCCCCACCTCTCACCTGAATCTGCCTCTGAAGAGTGCATTAAGATAATGAGCAATATGTCCAGTTATTGTTTTTCAAAGTCAAAACATCCCAATGGTCAGAAGTTCTGCCTTGACCATCCAAGGCCACATCTACCCTCCCCCTAATATGCCTCTGCCTATTCACAAGTGCTATATTAACAGGGTAACTTGTGTACGTGTAGCACAAGGCTAATACAGATTCATATTGGTACAGTACCTTTGAACGTCTTTTAGATTAAGGGTGTACTGCGGCTAGGCGGAGAGTGCTACTGTATTCTAATCGAGAAACATCTTCAGTTTAAGAATCTTTCCATTCACCAACAAAAGAAACTTGTATTCCACCATGCCTTCGTATAAGCTTACATACTTTGATGGCCGCTATAATACTGAAACTACCCGACTGATGTTTGGGGCTTCTGGAACAGAATTTGAGGATATTCGACTGGGGACGGATTACAAGGATTATCATGATTTGAAAAGCACTGGCAGTGAGTTTGTAAAGTCTAACTGTGAGTTCATACAATGATATGCTGTTCATGGTATCGGCGGCCCTCAAGTTAAATCGGATAGACTCGGTGACATCATTTTGTTTCCAAATGCCAACTGGCTGCTGCACATGAGGCATTATTTTGCTAAGATTTCTCCAATACATTTCTCAATTTACATTTTCATATCTCCTTTTTTCTTTTTGTTTTCTTTTAGAGTTGCCGCTAGGTCAGGTACCAATTCTGGAAGTGGATGGTCGTCTTATGTGCCAGAGTCGGGCTATCCAGAGATATGTTGCCCGAGAAGTAGGTGAGTTACGTACCCAGCTCCCCCACTCAGTGTTATTTAGGGTACGCGTATACATCCATGTTCCCTCCCTTTGAAAGCATCCCCCTATCTCCGGTGTGTATTAGTCCATACAGGCAAGACTGTTGCATGAAAAGTACCCCTTTCCTGGAGATTTTGGGAACATGGATGCGGTCCCTCCGACCCTGGAGTGGGGGGGGGGGGGGGGGGGTTACGTACTAGCCCCATTCCTTCCCTATCCTATATCATTCAATTTGAAGCTGAATGTCACACCTTTCCTTTATTTAAACACTTCTATTGTTATTAAAGATCAAAGAATATGTTATCAAGTATTTTATTTGTCAAATAAAACACTTATACGTAAGATATGATTGCATCGTTTACCACAAAAAGTCCACAATATTGTTCTTTTTGAAGGTGGGGTGTGAGGAGATGGTCTCTTGCAAACATATTGCTTTTATTCATTTGTATTGTTTGGAATCAATAAAAAAAAAAACTATTGATTTTTTTTTTTTTTGTCAACAGTTTCTTAGACTAATAATAATAGTTACATTTGTATAGGGCTTAAAACTATGCTTCTAAGTGCTTAGCACTTTATTTATTATTACACCTGTCATTATATTCAGTTACCTATCCATACATTACAGTGCACACACTCCGCTCCCTAGGGAGTATTCCTGCCAGTCGCTATTTTACAAGTGTACACATGCCCATCCAACCATATTAACCTTTCGCATCCTTTAAGTTACCCATTTAATACCTGGCTATAGAATGGCAAATGTAGATAAAAGTCTTGCCAAAAGACACTAGTGCCGTGCTGGGGCTCGAACCCATGATCTTTGCAGTTCAGGTGTCGTGGTCGAGTGGAAATGTCACCGGACTGTCGATCACAAGGTCCGCAGTTCGAGTCCCGCCGCAGCACTAATGCCTTTGGCAAGACATTGATCTACATTTGCCACTCTCCACCCAGGTGTTAAATGGGTACTCGGTAGGATGCATAAGCCAATGTAGTATGCTTAGCGATTTGAGCCTAGTAGCTCTTGCTAGAATGCTCCCCAGGGAGTGGAGAAAGTGCATACATTGTGTGCGGGCAAGCCAGAATCCGATGACCGGGGTAATGATGTAGAGCGTTTAGGAACTAGGACATTGCCGATGTTTGAAGCGCTATATAAGCAGAAATATTATAATTATTGCATTTCCAGTAAAGTGTGAAGCAGGGGCTACTTTTCCAGCTTGCTTGTATGAGAATAGCACTCTTGAATTTGTTTTGCATTGAACTCTATGCAAAATATGGGGTCTCTTTTAAGACTTTCGGGGGCTCTTTTGGGCATTTCGGCCCGAGCCCCCGTGTATTTTTTCCCCTGGTGTGTAGACCATTAAAATACAACACCTTTACAAATGCTTCAACACGTCTTTCTTTTCTTATCTATTTGTGTTTGGCCATTGTATCATGAATACTTAGTGGGGCAAACTAAATTAGTCACCCTAAAAGGACAATTTGTCAGCTTATTAATACTCAAAATTAGGTTTATGACACATCAAACTTTAGGTTTAAAATGTACAAATACCTAAAAAGAAATGTATTAAATAAAGAATACTGCGAAACATGCATGCCCTATATTCTGTGCGAGTGCTCTGGTCTACGCTTGCGCCACCTAGTCTACTCAACAAGTCGTTTTACAGTGCACCAAGAGTTATTAAACTGCAATCTCTTTGTAGAAGTGATATTTGAAACTCTTGCTTTGAATACAGTATAGCGACATAGAACCCCTTAGAAAAACATGTTTTGTGGATTTGTACATTTTAAGGGGTAGTGGCTACTCTCATGGTTCATCGTACAAATTAAGAAGAAAATAAGTGCAGTTTACCCTCATTACATATGTACCTCACCAACTACACAAACTTTATTCTCATTCTATTTTGAAAGGCAAGTATGGCAGCAGCAACGGAGAAGCTGCAACCATCGATGAAGTCACAGAAACATGCGATGAACTCCTAGAAAATGCTGCACCATGGTTGTATCGGGAGCAGGACCCTGAGAAGAAGGTACGCTCTAAGGCTTGTCTAAGGGCCTTCTCAGTAGCAGATCTTGGATTCCACAGTTGATTGGGGGGGGGGGGGGGGGGGGGGGGTGCACACTCTGAAAGAAAATGTCATCAAGTTTTTGGTGAATGAACAATCACCAGGATGCTTACCACTGTATGTAACACCAGGCAGTAAGGACCCAGTCAAATGACCCCCAATATCCACAGATCTTTTACTCACGGAGAAGTCCCACTTTGTGTATTTTAGAATAATCAATGCCAAAGTCATGTTATGTGCTTCATGAAAAGCTTTTGTTTGCCCTCTTGAATCATAAGAATGTACCGTAGGTGCACACATGAATAATAGGGACTTTTAGATTTGCACAATGACAACGTGGATTGCTACGATCGAAGTCCTTTTAATGCACTGCCTTGAATGGACGTCACACATATCAGTCCACGCAAATCTAAAAGCCCCTAATGATTACATAACATGAGCACATATTCCTGTGTGTGGGTTTTACAATTTTATCAGAAATGACCTTTATGTGGTATTTATGAAAAGGCTTATTGCAGATAAATCCCTGACCGTTACCAACCTGTGACCAAACACTAGCCAGGTTAATACCATTTAAGAACATCTTTCCAGCTAAGACACCCAAGACAAATCAAGCCAAATATTAATGCCTTCTGGAAAATACTTATTCCACGTCCTGTATAGTATATGTTTTTTAGGGGATTGTATTTTGGGGACAGTCCTTCACAAATTTCTGGTAAATGATCCGAGACATTTGCATTTACCATGATGACAACTTGTTACTTATCCAACAAGTCGTATGTACATGTATACAGTAGGCTTGCGGATGCACCATTTGAGAGAGAGGGAAAAGGACTCTCGGTAATCTTTCTTTAGGGTGTACTGTTAGTGTAGTCTTGAAAAAGACTGTCGGTAATCTTTCTTAGCTCATAGTTCTAAGGAGAACTATAGCGCTTGGAGAGTCCTTTTCAGGACTCCTCAATCCTCTCACATGGTGCATCCGCAAGCCCACTGTATATCTACTGTATATCTACATCACCATGCAAGCTGATACTTACAAGCAGCATCTAAGTCATATGTATTTTGAAAATACTTCTCTCATGGTTTATTCCCAAAGGCTGCTATCAGGAAGGAATACTTGGAGGAGAAGGGGCCGCACAGACTCTCTTACCTTGAGAAGAAGCTTCAGAGCAATCCATCAGGATACTTTGCCGGATCAAGCGTAAGTCCTCTCCAATACTACAACTCAGGGGCGTTCTAGGATGGGAGGGGGGATTGGGGGGGGGGGGGGTTGAGGTGTGACACCCCATACATACCTGCCAACCACCCCGATTTAGGCGGAGTTCCTCCGCATTTTTCATACCAACTCCGAATTCCGAGTGCATGCCTCAAAACTCCGATTTTTTAAAATTTTAAAATATTTTTAAAACAAACGACTGTTGCATAAGACAGCACAACACAGCACTGATAACCAGGGGGGTGTTTCACAAAGATCCTAAGTAGAACTTAACACTAAGTTTGACTTAAAAATTATGGACAGCCATTGGAGCCTTAAAATGAAATATAATCAAAAGCAGAAATTCAAGTATTTTAGACATTTTATAAATTCCACAACAAGAATATGAAATCTCCTTAATGATAGAAAATATGAATGATTTGAATAAACATTTTATGCCTTTCAAAAATATTTTTACCAAATATTTTCAAAGATGCTAATGGCTGTCCATAATTTTTAAGTCCAACTTAGAGTTAAGTTCTACTTAGGATCTTTGTGAAACACCCCCCATCACGCCGACATCAGCGCTCGCGCTCATAGAAGATATTGCATAGTAACTGCATGCGTATAGCCCACGTGTATTTATATTACATGTGCAGTTGATACACCGTGCATAAACACTGTATACATTGCCGTGTTTTCTTCAATGCTTGTGCGATGACTGCGATCGTGGAAGCTTGTTATTTACCGGACTTCCTCGGATTTATTTCGGATTACTACTACTATATTCTTCTTCTTCGTTGATTTCTCCATTTTTGAAGGACAAAATGGGTAAGACTCGTGCTGTTCATAATCAGAAGTATAAGAAAGAATACGGGAAACAATTTCCAGTTGCAGAATCAGCACTCGGACTTCAACACGCATTTTGCATTGTGTGTTCGGCCCACTTCAGTATCAACCATGGGGGAATGAATGACATTCAGAAACACATGAACTCAAAGAAACATAAAGCTTTCAGCGAAATTAAGGACAAGGCTCGTCCAATTTCAACCTTGTACATCAGCTGGATTGGTTGGTTCCAGTAGCCAGTAATTCTGAATCTTTCTACCTTTGCAAAATAGGGCTCCTAACTGAGGTGGGTAGTGAAACATGTAGTTTTGTGAGTGTTCACATTTTGATATTTCAAAAATTGTTTATGTGTGGGGCGAAAAGGTTGAAGGAAAAGGCCCTTTTGCACCATTAAAATGGAGAGAAAAAAAAATAGACCCTAAAGTCCTGTGTACCCCCCCCCCCCCCCAATCTACGGGCTACTACCCCAATCCTTCGGTGGTTCGCGACCTCGTAGTCCATCCAGAAAAATTTACTCCTAATTTCTCTTGTCTCAGGTTGGCAGGTATGCCCATAGCATATGTGTTGCTTTGGGCCATGGAACTTTTAGAACTTCACTATTGGCTCTTGCTGTCGAATCGGAAATTAGAGCTGAAGACCCTTATGAAAATCCAGAAGACTCATGTCAATTTTTCAAATTTTAAAGAGAATTGTCCATTTCTTAAGGCAGTACTGAATACATTGATTACAGTACTCCCTTTCTTATTCTGTTTTGTTTACTCAAAACTTTTTGTGCAAAATAGCTGAACAATTTCACTGAATAAGTGCTTGTAGTATTTTATGAACTGTTTCTCTTTTTAGATCAGGCACCCCCCCCCCCCCCTCAAGAGGCACATAAAAGGATGAGCATTTGATTTGAAAACAATGCTAGTTACCTCTTTTCCCTTTAGAGGCCATCTGTACTAGTTTGGCAAGGAGGGATTAGACCACCCAGGGTGGTCTCGATCATCAACTCGGCTCTCAATTAACATAAAGAAAAAGAGAAGTACAGTGGGGTTTTAAGGTTGGGTGACATCCAAATATAAATTTGATTACTGATTTCCTGTTGATGTGCAGGGATGCATACAACATATTTTGTTATTCAAACATCTAAATATATTTCATAGACTTTTAAATATTTTTCAAAATAATTTTCTCAAACCTGTTATTAAAGCTCCACCCTAAAAAAATGCTCCAGATCTCAGTCATCTTGTGACCTTGTATGTCAATCATTAGTGAGCTAACAAGAGACAGTGGTATGTATAATATAACTTCCCCGAGCTCAGCACATGCTCACAAAAGAATTGCATTCTTTCATACAATACATTCACGTTACCTTTCTTTTCCTGGTGACGCTACAGCACGTCTGACAAAGCAACTCCTATGTTGGTATTGTATGGTCTATTGTAAACAGGTGGTCAGCTCTATATGTAAATAATATGTTATTAAATCGGTCTATTTAGTATCTTAGTCTGTAAAACATTGCTTTAATCATACATTTATCTCCTCTCCTTACTGAACAAATTTAACCATAGTACCTGGTATTCATGGAGGCACAACCACTATGTGGAACATATTTTTTGACCAATGTCTCTCTCATTTTTTTTTGCCGCTGACCGAAGCTGATGCGAAACATATTTTTAACCAATTTCTCTCTCCCATTTTCTTTTTTTTTGCAGCTGACCCTTGCTGACCTTGCAGTATTCAACATTCTGGACATCCTTAACGACAACATGCCAGAGGTTATCACAGCCTACCCCTCCCTCCTGGCGCTGAAGGCCAAGGTCGCAGCCGACGAGAAGATTGCCAAATACCTTACAACAAGGCCAAAGACTGAAATGTAATTGCTGTAGTAACTGAAAAGCCAGAAACTTTCGCGTGCATGATATGTTCGCGTAATTCAGGTGCATGAGAGCCTTATGCTGCAAAATAATTCATTGACATCTGACACAAGAATAACAATGAATTTCCACTATTCGCATAAAGTTTTAAAATCAACATCATTTGCAGTTAGCGATAGCTTCATGTCGCTGAAGTTTTTTGGTTTAACAGTATATTCACTAACTTGTAAGCCATCATTTGTACTAAAACTCCAAAGCCCAAAACATGCCATGATTTTATTCAGTGGTTTGAAGTCCAAGTTTGGACCATTCATAAACCTGAGACATTCTATTACTTGTACTGTTGTGGAGCCTTATGTAGGACCATTTTCATTTAAATAGATGTAATTATAAAATAAATGAAAGCACACCAAACGAAACAAAACAAAAAGAAATGAAACAAAACAAATGACAGCTGTCAAAAAAGAACTTCTGTGTATTTGCTGAAACAAAACATGATTAACACTTTGTATTTTTACCCCCAAAATGGTGCATTTTCCAAAGATTAGTTATAATCGTAATAATTGGTAACTCTTTAATTTCCTTATCACAGTACTTATTATTTGTTTCATTTACAATGTTATCTTACAATGTAATCATAAACGGTCATGTTTGTGTTTGATTGTAGTGAATCATAACTCTGATAAATAACAAAATTGTTTAATTGTCAGTGTATACATTCATTTGGTATGCTATAACCATGGTAATAGGAAACCTTTTTGATTTGTTTTTCATAGTACTTGTCATTTGTCTATGATGTAATCATACATTTATGATATCATATGATCATGTCTGTTCATTTTTGTCTCGCCTGCGTAGCAAAAAGCGAGACATAGGCGCCGCTTTTCCGGTGACGGCGGCGACGGCGACGGCGGCGTCAACATCAAAAACTTAACCTAAGGTTAAGTTTTTGGATTTTTGATATAATTTTTAAAGTATAGGTTCTTAGTCAATGAAACTTTGACTATAGGGTAATCAAGTATCCCCAATCATGTGAGTAGAATTTCAGATCACAAAGTCAAGGTCAAAGGTCATTTCAGGTCAACAGACTTGGACTATGTTGTAGCATCATCATCGAAAACTTAAAGATAAACTTTAGTACCGGTAATGCGATTGCATTGTGAAAGAAAAGGTGTGGAAAGGATCAGAAACAGTTGATCATGTAGCATGTAAGTATTGGTGTGCACTGCAAGGTTCTGGAGTCATCAAAATCATAATAAATTTGACCGAATCTTGGTAAAGTAACAAGCACTCACATAGAAAGCTATATATGGGACAACACACATGGTGTCGGGGCTGGTACTACCTTGATTTCCTTGTCTTTCTATGCTCATTACTCAGCCAGTATACATTTTCTTCCAAAATTGTTTGGCACATGTCATTTATTTGTAATCTTGAACATTCAGTGTAAGTTTCGTTTGATTCTGTGAGAATTTTTTTTTTTTTTTTTACCAGTACTGGAGTTTATCTTTAACCTAAGGTTAAGTTTTTGAATTTTTGATATAATTTTGAAAGTATAAGTTCTTAGTCAATGAAACTTGGACTATAGGGTTATCAAGTCTCCCCAATCATGTGGGTAGAATTTCAGGTCACTACGTTAAGGTCAAAGGTCATTTAAGGTCAACAAACTTAGACTTTGTTGTGGCATCAACATCAAGATTTTCAAAATGCTTCTTCGTTATTTTTCAACCGATTTTGATTCTGATTGTTTCATATGATAGGGCTAGGAGGGGGATTTAAAATTTCTCAACAGAAGTGTGAAATTCATTATCTATGCTAATTTATGCAAATTTATTCGAAATCACAAAAAATGCTTCTTCTCCTTCATTTCTTGACCATTTTTTTTTGGTTTGCTTTATCTGGTAGTGCTAACTTTGGTACACTAAACTTCTACACAGAATTTTGAAATTGTTCTCCGTTGATTAACTGGTAATTTATGCAAATTTATTCCAAAAATAACAAAAATTGCTCCTTCTCCCTCATTTTTTGACCGATTTTGATTTGGTTTGCTTTATATCATAGAGCTTACTTTGGTTCACTAAACATCTACACAGAATTTTGAAATAAGCCAGTTCACGGTTTCAGTCTGAGCATGAGCAGATAAAGGTCATTGCAGAACAAATTTTGAAATACACGGAGATGAAATACTAGATACATGCTCATTAAAGTTATTTAATCATTACTCATTCATGCACATTCAGTGCACTCCATGATACACAGGTGGAAGTATTCTTTGACAAAGGGAAAACAAACTAAGGCTATTTATAAAGCACCTCCATCGCTATAGGAATGATTACCGGTATTTCAAAAATGTACAAAGTGGGACCTCTTCATGCTTTGAAGATCTGTGGATATTCGGGGTCATTGCAGTAATGTGCTAACCGTGAACTGGTCTATTGTTCTTCATTGATTAACTATGGTAATTTATGCAAATTTATTCCAAAAATAACAAAAATTGCTTCTTCTCCCTCATTTCTTGACCGATTTTGATTTGGTTTGCCTAATCTGGTAGAGCTAAATTTGGAACACTAAACTTCTACACAGAATTTTGAGATTTTGCTCCATTGATTATTTATGGTACTTTATGCAAATGAAATTAAATTATGTCCCTTCCAGGGCATCAAATTTTTATTTTTTGACCAGTTCAATAGTGTACCACATAAAATTTACGATATTTGTCGTTGCGAGATGCGGATGAGCGCTACCTCATTGACGTTCTGGCTTATCATATTGAATTGCGTTATGCAGGCGAGACCGCCGAGAGCGTTTCCCTTGTTTGTGTTTGATTTTACTTAATTCATAAATCTGATAAATTCAGAAGTGTTTAATCATCAATATTTCCATCTAAGTATTCAATGTGCTGTAACCATGGTAATTTATACCTCTTTATTTCTTATCATGATTCATAGTACTTGTCATCTGTCTTATTATGATGTAATCATACATTAATGATATAATCATGTTGGTTCCTGTTTGTAGTTGATTGTACTAAATCAAAACTCTGATAAATCAGAACAATGTTTAAAAGGTTTAATTGTGAACTTTAATTTGAGATTTTAAAAAAAAATCTATAAAGGACATTTGCCATTTTTCTTTCCAAACTGACTGTTCTTTCTCCTTAATCATGTATTTCATTTTGTCTAACCACTGTATGTAAATATCTTGACATGATGTTCAAAAAGAAATTATCTGCTTATATGAGAACTTAAGATTCTGTTATGCCAAATTCTATCCGGATTCCATATTTTTGTTTTTAAAGCTTTGTTTTGTTTTCATTTCATTACCAATTTATATATTGAGGAGTCTATCTTTTCAATTGTATATCATTGTCGGTGTTCAATAAAGGAACAAAACTGCCTAAGGCTATCAAGCTCTTTTCAAAACCACTGCCTTCTGTATATTGTTTTTTTTTTACATTTAAAATAATATCCTGCGCTAGATCGTGTCGAACTTTTGCTGATACGTGGACAATTAAAGGGCGTTGTAGGGATTTACTAGGTCAAAATCTCAAAATTTGTAAAAGGGCCAAACAAATTCCTAAAAATGTATTATGACAAAGTATTCATTATTAGCAAAATTACAGTAATTTTTCTTTTTATATTTGAATTTTGCACCTGGCAGTTTTCACTCCGAGAGAGGAAACCGTCTTTATATCTGAAATTTTGCACATTCACTAACTCATCTTGCTGGTAAAGGATACATTTTGAGATTTTCTGAGGGCTTGCAAATTCCCTGACAGGGGCTTTAACATTTTCATATGAGGTGAAAAAGTTGAATTGATAATCAATTTGGCTTGGAGTGTAAGAAAAATCATCCAATCATTAAAGTGATGAAAGAAATGTTATCTCCTGAAATGATGAATGGAAGGGAGAGGGTGAGTGAGAGAGAGAGAGAGACAGAGAGTGAGAGAGAGAGAGACAGAGAGATAGAGGTGGGGGGGGGGGGGTGAGAAGAAGAAAAGAGAGAGGGGTGGCGACTGAAAAGGAGGGACATAGGGGGTAGGAAGGAAGAGCAAAAGAACATGTGGAATGATGGTGAATGAGATGGAACAATAGACAATTCGAGTAATTACAGTGGAATGACGGTGCTGCTAACAAATTGATGGTGAGTTAGATATACAATTTGCCGGCCAGATTCCTTTAAAAACAAAGAAAAGCAAAGATTTTCACAGTATACATGACTCAAACTATAATCATAATCGCTAATACACTCGGTGTTAGATCCTTCATGTCATATTTCCCCCTACTATCTCTCTGGTTGCCGCCGTCAGTTGCTGGCGATTGGCGACCACATCTGCACATCTTCTTCTTGTCTTTCTCCATTTGTTTCTATCCTGTGCTAATCTTTTGGCATCTGAATATGTGAGACCTGTCCATTCTTTGATATTATCGAACCACTGCTTTCTTTGTCTGCCTCTTTTTCTTTTTCCTTCTACTTGGCTTTCTATTATTTGTGCTGCTAAGGGGCTTCCACTGCCACACAGAATGTGTCCAAAGTAACCCATCTTAATTGAGGCAGGCCACTTTTCCAAGGAGATCTCTTTCTGTGATTAGTTCTTGTAGAACACTGAGGTTAGTTCTTTTGTCCTTCCAGCTGATCTTTAGAATTTTCCTCCAGAACCACATTTCTGCTGCCATGATGTGATTTTCATCGGCTTTGAGCAGTGTCCAGCTTTCAGCACAATAAAGCAAAGCACTCCAAACCAGGGTTTTGACCAGTTTTATTTTCAGACCTGTTGAGATGTTCCTGTCATTCCAAAGTACATGCAAGTCAACCATTCTCTTCTTTGCTATTGCTATTCTTATCTTTATGCAGGGGCGTTAATCCGTACCGAGGAATTGGGGGGGGGGGGATGATCGGCGATAGCCATCACATACAAGCAGGAGCACACGCCCACACTAATTTACGCAAGCGCGCGCGATCGCGCACGCACAAACACACAACACACACACACACACGCACGCACACACACACCACCGCTCGCTCATTAGGGGTGTGTGGGTAATAGGCCTACCGCGCGAAGCGCGAAAGCTTAGACGTTTCCTTAAATTATTAGTAAAAGAAGACGATTTATTGTACCGTTCTCTACTGTTAACCCTTGTCTGAATGAATCCGCCCCCTCCCCCTCCCGCGCGAAGCGCGAAAGCTTTGGCGTTTCATTAAATTATTATAAAAAGGAGACGATTTGCTGTACCGTTCTCGACTGTAAATCCTTGTCTGAATTCAGTTCCCCCCTCCCCCCCCCCTCCCGCGCGGTAGTTTTGGCGTTTCTTTAAATTATAAGAGAAAGTAGACGATTTGTTAAACCGTGCTCGACTCTTAATCTTTGTCTGAATTCGGTTTACCCCTCCCGCGCAAAGCGCGGAAGTTTTGACGTTTCATTAAATTATTAGAGAAAGCAGACGATTCGTTGTACCGTTTTCGACTTTTAATAAGCCCTATTTATCTGAATTCAGTTTCCCCCTCTCGCGCGAAGCGCGGAAGCCTTGGCGTTTCCTTAAATTATTAGAGAAAGCAGACGATTGGGTGTACTGTTCTCGACTCTTAATTCTCGTCTGAATTCAGTTTCCCCTCCCGCGCGAAGCGCGAAAAGCTTAGACGTTTGATTTAATTATTATAGAAAGAAGACGATTCGTTGCACCGTTTTCGACTCTTAATAAGCCCTATTTATTTGAATTCAGTTTCCCCCTCTCGCGCGAAGCGCGGAATCCTTGACGTTTCTTTAAATTATTAGAGAAAGCAGACGATTGGGTGTACTGTTCTCGACTCTCAATTCCCGTCTGAATTCTGTTTCCCTTTCCCGCGCGAAGCGCGGAGAGGTTAGACGTTTGATTTAATTATTATAGGAAGAAGACGATTCGTTGTACCGTTTTCGACAATTTCCCCCTCTCGCGCGAAGCGCGGAAGCCTTGACGTTTCCTTAAATTATTAGAGAAAGCAGACGATTGAGTGTACTGTTTTCGACTCTTAATTCTCGCCTGAATTCAGTTTCCCCTTCCCGCGCGAAGCGCGAAAAGCTTAGACGTTTGATTTAATTATTATAGAAAGAAAACGATTCGTTGCACCGTTTTCGACTCTTAATAAGCCCTATTTATCTGAATTCAGTTTCCCCCTCTCGCGCGAAGCGCGGAAGCCTTGACGTTTCCTTATCGTGACATACTGTATACGTGTAGGCTATACATAAACAAAATAACTCATTTCTCATGCATTATGCTGCAATTGAAACAATCACATTTTTTTCTTCTTCTTCTTCTTCCTTTTTTGTCCTCTCTTTTTTGGTAATATCAGGGGGGATGATTGTACAGGCCATCCCCCTACTTCAAACCAGGGGGGATGCAGCCCCCCCCCCCCCCCCCCCCCATCCCCCCGGGATTTACGCCCCTGTCTTTATGTCACTGGTACAGCTGGCATAATCCCCCTATGATACATTCTAATACATTATAATACATTCTAATCTGACATTACCTTATATATTTCTCCCTCCATATTTTATATCATATTTTCGCAGTAGTGAAGAAGAAGCTTCTGTTAGCGATGGGGCGGGAAAAAACCACAACAACCCTGTACTAGTGAATGCGAAGATGTAGATATCTTTACAGATATTAATTGTCTTCTCTTCTACGAATCTCTTTTTTTCTCATTCAATTTGGTAAGTAACACTGTGTCTCAAAGGAAATTTAGCCCTATGCCTATATGACTTTATTTGGTGTACCTGTAGGGTAATACAATACGGTTTAACTCAAGGGGTAATTTAAATACGTTATTGTATATATCTCATTGAAGCCGTGTTGGCCGGAATTCGTTACGCGATTGTTGTGTTCTCACCTTTCAAAAGGTGATATTCTAGGCTGTAAAAATTGACTGACGTGGAATTTTCGGAAATGTCTGGGACTGTAATTACTATGCTACGGTTTTATGGTCTTGAAAATTAGAAATGCTCCACAATCCACACAAAATCCGAACGGATTTGCCATTTTGAATTCTTAAAAACTAGAGGACTAGGAAAGAACGATAAAGAGCGTTTCGCAAAGTTCCCCCCTTCTCTCTCTCTCTCTCTCTCTCTCTCTCTCCCTCCCTCTCTCTCTCTCCCCCTCTCCCTCTCTCTGTCTCTCTCTCTGCCTCTCTCTCTACCTGTTTCTCTCTCTTAACACCCCGCTTACCCCTCTCATTTCCCTAACACCATCCTTACCACCTCTACCTCTTCCCCTATTTATTAATGTCACATAATTATGTACGTGGGCTCGATTTCAAAACGGGGGGGGGGGTAGAATTTTGTAAAATGACCGTTCTATATACACTGTTTAAAAGATAAAGAGAAAAAATGCTTGAATGTGAAATATTAGGTTAAGTCATTACCTTCAAATAATTTTTTAAAAAAGAGTATGGTGGTAGTTGCCTCGTGCACCACTAGGGGGATCATCAGGGATTTTCCCATCAGCCGTCGGGAGTTTCGATCCGTTATGGATAATACTTGCTCTTGGCAGGGCAATTTACCACCACCCCCTGGTGCAAATAAAATTGAACAGATATTATAATAGTATGATATAATACCATCATGATAATTAAATGTATGTACATGTGTTTTCTTTGCAGGATATCAAATTACATTATACAACAGGACTTCGGGCTGCCTATGGAATCTCTTGAGTCGTCGCGTGGAGGCAGTTTTGGTCAAATATAGCTATTTTTGCTCGCATGAGTAACAACAATGACGTCATTCAGGCTACCGACATACTTTTCCCGTGTCACTCTATTGTCTCATATAGGACCAAAGCTATAACTTTCTGTTAAACCGATGAAGTTTTTTTTTCTCGAAGAGAAGTGTAATCAATGAGGAGAAGATGAAACCATATTTTCCTAGAGAGATTCAAAAGTTTTCATGAACTAAGGCTCGAAGATGAACTATGTGCTAAAGAACATTTGACATTGACAAAGGCAACAGGGTATTTTTTAATCTTATTTTCAACAGGGTAACAATTTCCAATAGCATGTTGGATGTTGCCTTTATATGAACTATATTGATACCAAAAATAAAATAACAACTTATTACTGAGTATGACTTATGATTATTCCATTGCTTTATTGTATCTGGACCCCGTTGTAAAACTCTTCAAAAGTTAACAAAGTTACCATTATTGGTACCTACCATGGAAACTTCGGTTGAGTGATGTTGCCATGGTAGTTAATATTGATGGCAAATTACCATTACTATGCAACGGGGTCCACGATTGTTAAATTTAATAAATTTGATAAAATAATTGTTCGATAATTATTGCGTCATCCGTATCTCGATTCTGACCTTATTTAGTACAATCCCAGTAGAATGAAAAGCATGGAAAGAAAAGCTGAATTCAAAAGATGGTTAGTAGCAACAAGCCAACAACAGACGTAGTAATCATGAGATGTATTCCCGTTGCACACGAATTCCCGTCGGACGAATTGTATTGCGTCAGCGAACGACAGGTCAAGGCTTACATGCTTCATAATTATGGTTTTCACTCTCCAGAGATTTTTTAGAGAGAGAGAGAGAGAGAGAGAGAGAGAATGGGGGGGGGGGGGGTATGGCGCGCCATTTGACCAATAACCCCGATAAACAAGTTTATCGACGAAAAATAAGGTTTATCGACGAAAAACAAGGTTTATCGAGCGAAAAACAAGGTTTATCGAGCGATAAACATTGTTAGTCATGAGAAACTCTGTAAATCGACTGATAAACACAGTTTCAAACAAGGTTTATCGAAAAAAACAGTTATTCGTATTTCGTCAGGAGTGGGCGCTTTTTAAAGTTGCACCCAGCTCAGAGCACTGCTCCGCACGTGCGCTTTACACCGTAACATATACCAACACCGTAACACTTGCTCGCGCTCATGACCACGATCGACATTTTCTGAGTAGAGGTACGGCGAAGTATTCTTAATTCCAGGCTTTTCCCCAATTTGTGAAATTTTATGTTTATATATCTCTCTCTAGCTCTCTCTCTCTCTTTCAAACTTTCTAGGTTTTCCCCTTCTCTTATCTCTCTCACTCTCCCCCTTTCTTTCTCTCACTCTCTCTTTCTCCTACCCTCTCAATATAACCCTTCTGTCTCTCCCTCTCTTTCTTCTAATTCTCTCTTTCCCTTTCTCTTTCCTTTTTCTTTTCTTTCTCTGCACTCCCTCTCTGTGTTTTTCGATAATCGAGAGAAACTGTGTTTATCAGTCGATATACAGAGTTTCTCATGATAAACAATGTTCATCGCTCGAGAAACCTTGTTTTTCGTCGATAAACAAGGTTTATCGACGAAAAACCTTGTTTATCGACGACAAACAGTGTTTATCGGGGTTATTGGTCAAATGGCGCGCCATAATAGGGAGATGAATGAAGGGGGGAGGGGGGAGGAACACAAAGAAAGACAGACGCAGCACAGAGAGAGAGAAAGACTTCGAGAGAAAAGGGTGGGATATGGGGGAGAAAGAGAGAGAGATAGACAGAGCGGTAAAGGAGGGGGTGAATAGTGAGGGGGAGAGGGAGAACAATTTAAGAAAGAGAGAGAGAGAGAGAGAGAGAGAGAGAGACGTCGAGAAAAAAAGGGAGGGAGATGGGGGGGGGGGGATAGAAAAATAGAATGAGAGTGAGTGATAGAGAAAAGAGAGAGAGGGGAAGACGCAAAGAATGATACCGATATAGAGTAAAAGAAAGAGAGATAGAGAAAGAATGAAAGAGAGAGAGAGAGAGAGAGAGAGAGAGAGAGAGAGAGAGAGATAGAAGGGGGAAGAAAAAGATAAATAAAGACTTGACACAAGACTTGATTAAGATGATACTAGACTCTCTTGTTTTCGGATCTTCTTAACAAAATTCAAGAAATATGATGCGTCCATTTCGCCCGTGGTCATAGCAATACCAATACCTTGTATGATCATTTTTCACTTTCCTTCCACATAAAAAGTACATTTCGCAAAATTTTCCTCGGCCTACAAGTGCATAACAAATAAATGGGACGAAGTTTAAAGATACTATGTCCCTTTTGCAGCCAACCTCAAATTCTGTAGAACTTTGCAGGAATTATGAATATGTCATGTATGTCCTATCTGTGAAATTTAAACGTTAGCAGTGTCCTCATATTCAAATTATGCAAGGAAACCCGTTTACTTGCTAGACTTCACTGTCAGACACTATTGAGTGACTGACTGCCTTTTTTTCTCCTTTGGTAATAACATAGATGAAAAGAGTTGTAAAGGGTACATGAGCATTTGTCTACATCAATAACTCACTTCTTGTGATGGCCAAGATTAAACTGATTGAATCTTTGCGCAGCATAAAACGTATGACCATTCGGTACAATTGTCTGAAAATCAAGACTATTACTTTTGGGCTCTATAGCCCTAAAGTCGATTTGACAACTAAATGTCGTTATTTTCCCACTTGAAGACATTTTCAAGCCCCACCTTGTTTATGGAAGTTCTAAATTAGTATTATCTTTCAAATGCAGTTGGAATTTAACTTTTTCATTTTTTGGGCCTGCAAATGGGACATAGTACCTTTAAGGCCCTGGTCGATACTGCCGAGATGTAGACATTGGTTTAAAAAATATATATATTTAGCTGTAGGCCTACAATTTATTCACAACGAGTACCTGAAGCACTGCTTCCGTCCCAATTGCACACATTAAGTCATAATTCTTCGAAAAAGCTCTCATCGAAATGTTTATCGAGGTATGCTTACAATTTAGGAAAGTTGTTATTCCAAAACGATCAACATTCTTGAAGCTAACATACAGTGTATACATAAAGGGTTGGATATATAGATAGTCTGCTTGTTGAAAGCAATGATGAATTGAATAACATGTTTTTGTTCTCTTCCTTTTATAACATATGCATCTGGGAGTACATTTTAAGTGATGATGTAATTAAGACATGTCTGTTCCGCGAATTCTTATTCTATCGAAATGTTATCGCTATTAAGCCCTAAAAAGAAGCAAAATATCATCTGAAATTTGTCAACATCGATAGGAAAACACCTAAAATTACCTGAAAAAGGATAAAGTTTCTGTTAAAAAATGATCACAAATTATATATATATTTAAATAACATATATATTTATTTGTCATGATTCATGAACCAATGGAAATACATTAAGACTTTATTCATCATGCAAAACAAGGTCAGAGTACTCATGATTTCATTAAAAAAAAAAATTCACTGTCATCTATGTTCGTCATAAATTTGTCAAAAATCTGTCGAGTCATAATGATCAGTTTGTGGGATTGATTGCATTCATATGTTTTATTTGTATATTAATCTATTGCACACGTAGGCCCATATTGATAACGAACTGCTGACTCACTGTAACAGTAACATACTCATGTACTTAGACCATGATAGGCCTAAATGTGTTAGGTTTAGCTACAGGGTGCAGGGAGACACATGCCCCTAAATAAATGTCGAAACTCGAAAGAGAAGGAAAGACGGAGAAAAAAGGCGAGGAGGGGGAAAGCTGAATATACCTTTCCTTTCGACATCTAAACCCTATCTTGCCACAAAACCTTGATCATTCACATTCCAATCTCCTTGTAAAATTGCTGCCATGCACCCCCGACAAAATGGCCCTTTAATGATATATAGCTAGGTTTCCGCTACGCTAATGATTTAGGCTATCATGGTCGGCCCCCTCATAGGGGCGGACTGGGACTGAAAGTCGGTCTAGATAGACGTTGCAGCTGAATGACTCTTCCTAAATATTGACCAAGCGGCCTCTTGCTTAGAAATTCACTGTCCCTTCGATGGAGAGAGAAAAAAACTTCACAAATCTGACTATTACCCGTCTGCCCCTGCCCCTACCCGCCTATTATGTACCCTTTCGTGCAAATCAATTCTTTTCCACCTCATGACCCCCCCAAAAAAAAAAAAAAAATAAATAAATAAATAAAAATAAATAAATAAAAAATAAATAAATAAAAAAATAAAAAAATAAAAAAATAAAAAAAATAAATAATAATAATAATAAATAAATAAATAAAAAATTAATGCATGAAATAATCAAATCAGCTATTAATGCAAAAACATTGCGGTAGCCCTACATGAATATGATTATTGTAAAAACATACCCCCTTCCTTCCTCCCTCCCTTCCCCCTCTTCTCCATATACCTATCCGATAACAATAGTATGACTACTCGACTACAACAATTACTAGGTCTGAAAAACGTGCCCTTTGAGACATGAATTCATATAGACTCATAATAAATGTGGAACTTTGTACTTTGGTATATACAAGTGCTTTCATAAATTATCATCCATGTATTTATGTGCAGGGGCGGATCTAGGGGGTTCGGTGGTTTAACCCCCCCCCCCCCCCTTGGACAGCCAGGTGAAAAAGGGGGAAAAAAGGGGGGGGGAATGAAAAAAAAGAAGAAGAAAAAAGTAAAACAGTAAAACGGCGCGATTTTTGGAAAATCCTGGATCCGCCACTGGGTCACCCCCCCCCCCCCTCCCCTGGCAAGAAGCTAGATCCGCCCCTGATGTGCACCAACAAGGTAAATAGCCACTCGTACTGCATGTGAGAATATAATAGACTCCTGCTATCTTCTGCCACAGTTCCGGAACGCAGGAGTAAGAAGGACAGGAACGTTATATCCTTAGCAGAAAGTAGAAGAGATTTGAAGGATGCCTTCCTACAAATACACCTACTTTACCTTCAAATCCAGGCCGGAGGTCAATCGACTTCTGTTCTTGTTGGCTGGGGTGGAGTATGAGAATAATTGTATCGATCACAACCAGTATTGGGCTATGAGGTCCGATGGAAGTAAGTAACATCATACAGAATATTCTGTAGCCTCATATTTGTACCTTTGTCCTTTCTATGCTTTAAATTCAACAGATGCATCAATTAATGAATATTTTAATAAATTCATTTCCCCCTTTAAAATTTAGTATAGACCTCACGGTTTTAACTTTGAATTGTATCGTATACTATGCTCATTATTAAAATCGTCATTGTTGACTTTATTTCCTATTGCTTACTGTATGATAAACTATGTTAAAGGTACTTTGTCCCATTTGCAGGCCAATAAAATGAAAAAGTTAAATTCCAACTGCATTTGAAAGATAATACTAATTTAGAACTTCCCTAAAAAGGTGGGGCTTGAAAATGTCTTCAAGTGGGAAAATAACGACTATTAGTTGTCAAATCGACTTTAGGGCTACAGAGCCCAAAAGTAATAGTCTTGATTTTCAGACAATTGTACCGAATGGTCATACGTTATATGCTGCGCAAAGATTCAATCAGTTTAATTTTGGCCATCACAAGAAGTGGGTTATTGATGTAGACAAATGCTCATGTACCCTTTACAACTCTTTTCATGTATGTTATTACCAAAGAAGAAAAAGAAGCCAGTCAGTCACTCAATAGTGTCTGACAGTGAAGTCTAGCAAGTAAACGGGTTTCCTTGCATAATTCGAGTAGGAGGACACTGCTTACGTTTAAATTTCACAGATAGGACATACATGACATATTCATAATTCCTGCAAAGTTCTACCAAATTTGAGGTTGGCTGCAAAAGGGACATAGTACCTTTAATGAACAGGACTGCTATGTAAAACAGCCACGAGCTGATTGTTTTATCATAGCAAAATATATATGTTACACAATTAATGAATAAATTATAAGCTAATTAATTTTTTGAAATACTTTAAGACGAGGAGTGACGAGGGAATAAAATGTTTTTGAACCCGTCTGAAGTAATGTTGTAAGTAGGCGTATCTTAAGTGACTTTCTGTGAAGTTGTGTTATTGATATTGCAAAGTAAGTTTTTACCAGGCGCTTACGGTAACAGAATAACGACATCTGAGGGTAAGCTAATAGCCCAAAACATTACGACATTGTAGGTCAACTTGACATCTACACAATAAGGTTGAATATAATCAACATCTATGACATCTATTACAACACCAAAAACATGACTCAGTAGTTATCTCGACGATTTTTATGATTCTCATGGTAATTATACAAATATGATAGTCATAGATAACATGATAACATTACGACATTGTAGGTCAACTTGACTTCTACACAATAAGGTTGAATATAATCAACACCTATGACATCCCTTACAACACCAAAAACATGACTCAGTAGTTATCTCGACGATTTTTATGATTCTCATGGTAATTATACAAATATGATAGTCATAGATAAAATGATAGTGTCCTTTTAGATATTGTGGAACCAACATGCTTTCTACTTTTAGATTTTGACTTCAAATTGATTTTGTTTTTTTGTTTGTTTATAGAACTGCCTCTATTACAGCTGCCTATTCTCGAGACAGATGGACGAATCATCATTCAAAGCAGAGCGATCCAGAGATATCTGGCCAAGAAATTTGGTAATTATTATTACTATTTTAAAATTAATGGCCCTTTTAATATTCTGGCGCCCATTATACATAAACATCGGTGCGCGTACGCGCGTGTGTGTGTGTGTGTGCGCGCGTTTGCGTGTGTGTGTGTGTGCGCGCGTATAGATACTTGATAGATATTTGTTTGAAAGAGGGATTGTTCAATTGAATCACTTGATTCGAAAAGCTCATGTTATATTAATCTGTTCAATATTTTATGAACCTCGGTATGAAAGGTTATAATTTGCTTTGATTATTGATATTTATGATGCGATACCCAGGTTTTCCCAGAAAGAAAAAAAACGATAATATTTAATAGTTAAGATTTAGTGGTCAGGAGCAGCCTCAATTACATCCCCACAACATCACCCCCTTTCCGTTTGTGATGATTTCGTTACATTATTCCCCCAAATAAAATTCACAACATGTTCAATATTTGAAACAGAAAATTTGCTAAACACACGATTAAAAGGACGATGACTTAAAGTCATACTTGACAATGAATAAATAAATCTTTAGTTCATATTTTGTTGGTCACTGTCATCAATCACGGGACATGGAATACGTTATGTCACCAGAAACATCCGTGCCCCGGGCCCGAATACAAATTGCGGTTCAGAATATGTTATCAAACTGACTGTTGAGTAGTTATTTTCCACCCTTGTTTATGGTTTAAATGGCAGTGATATCCGAGGATAAAATCCTGCATGGAGACATGTTGGACTAATATTTTTGCCCAGTGTTGTGACATTTTAAGTGAATGAGTTTCGGGAACCAATATTGTCTTATGGATACGTTTATTTATGATAACTACTTTGTTAATGTTTTAGAGGGAAGAGACACGGCTACCAAATTTGCGATTTTATGGCTGCATTTACCAGATATATGTTTCAATCCTGTAACATTTATTTACATATTTGTCATTAAAAAAAACCTTACTTTTACACAGTCATGTTTTTGTTGTTGGTGAATAACGTGAGTTAGGTAGTAAATCATAAAACAAATCAGTCCATCAATCCGTTCAACCATCCATCAATCTATCAATCAATCAATTTGCCATCCTATCAATCAATCAGTAAATTAATCAATCAATGAAACAATCAGTCAATCAATCATCCATTCATTCTCTCATTCATTAAACCAACAGGCCAACCGACCAACCAATCAATCAACCCACCAATCAATCAGTCAATCAACCAATCAATCAGCCAATCATCCATTCATTTATTTAATCAAGCGAGCAATCAACAAGCCAACCAACCAATCAATCAATTAGTCAATCAACCAACCAATCAATCAACTAATCAATCAATCAATCAACCAACCAATTAATCAATCAATCAATCAATCAATCAATCAACCAATCATCCATTCATTCATTCAACCAATCAAGCAAGCAACAAGCCAACCTATCAACCAATCAATTTATCAATAAATCAATCAATCAACTAACAAACAAACCAGTCAATCGTTCAATAAATCAATCAATCATCCATTAATACATTCAATCGATCAACTAAACAATCAATCAACCAACCAATCAATCAATCAACCAATCAACCAATCAATCAACCTATTATCCATTCATTCATTCAACCAAGCAAGCAATCATCCATTCATACATTCAATCGATCAAGCAAGCAATCAATGAATCAACGCGAAACAAATTATTACACTCACTGTAGCTGTTGAGTTTATCACAAAATACAATGACATTGCATGTTAAGCAATTTAATTCGATACTCATGACTTATTGTTTACAGAAGGCATTGTCAAAGAATCAATTCGGTTGGAGGTTATATAAACATTAACGTTGTCATGATCAACACACTCATTCAAAAATCTCCCCCCCCCGCACCCGCCCCTCATCCCACCTCCTGCGTGTTACCATTACACCTCATTGGGAATATATTATTCCTTTAATACGTAACTTTCGAATGTTTTCTTTTTGATATTTATTAATTTGAGCTGATTTGTAATTATTTATCCTCTTAATCTATAAAAAGGGATACAGAAACGATGCACCGCAGTAATACACACGGCAAAGGAAAAGAAGAAAAAAATTAAAAAGAAGAAAAGGAAACATTATAGCTGGATATTCCACTGATATTGCCTTATTTCCCTTCTGTTTTGTTTATAATGTAGCCCGTTTTCGCCGTGAACCCTTTTTCTCTTGTATTGGCTGTTACTTTCTGTCTTTCTAATGCTGATGATAATTGGTTGTTGAAATCTCTTGTTCGTTTGAATATACGAGATTATGGACACATATAACAGGTATCTAAAGAAAAACAAATGTTTTGAAGTTCTCAAGGGAAACAAGCGAAATTTCTTAGAAAAGCGCGAAGCTTGTTCGAGAGCCATTTGGCGACGTATTTAAAGGATTTAAAAGCAACCGGTTTGGGGGATTTGGGAAATGACAAAGGAAGGTGTTGAGAGTGATGTGATGATGAAGTGCGTGTTCTTTTGAATGTTAAGTTTTTTACGGTTTTTATCATTTTAATTGTTTCATCCTTTTGGAAATAGTTTTAACAACTTATTGATTTTGACAATTTGTATATGTTTCAAAAAGAGACAATAAAAAGGTGAAAACGAGGGGTCTATCGAAAAGTAAATTGTGCAAGTGAACGCCCCTTCAATGACATTCAAATTCAACATTCAAAGTCCATGATTTTTGTTTAGATTGCCACTATTACCACTGGTACTAATACTAATTCAAACGTTAAACACTTGATGACATACTTCAATTTTGTCCACTAATTTTGGATAACAGGTTTCTATGGTAACGGAGTGGAAGACGAACTCCTGATTGACGAGGCCGTTGAGACAGCGGAGGAGATCCTCGACTACGCCTTGCCATGGATCTATCGAGAGCTAGATGAGAAGAAAAACGTATGCCCCATTGGATTTTCAAAACAGACAATTTTTTATTCAGAAATTCACGTTATACAACATTAATTTATTTGTTTCCCCCTTTTGCTATAATAATTAAAACAATATATTGCATTAAGCTTTCTTGACGATTTTTCTAAATGTGTGATTAGATAAGTTTTTAGGCATTCACGAACAACTGTTCATACTAAAAACATGTATTAAATGCAAATTGATTAGAAAGGTATTGGCTGTTTTTTTTTCTTCTTCCCAGATTTCAATCAGCCACTATTTCTATGACTTAATTTCTACTTGATTATGGATATGCAGAAGAGGGCTATTTCCCACTTCAGAATATGATAATCATATTTTATTAGCGTTGTAAAATTCCGTACATTACTTCAAATTTCTGCTGTTCGTCCTTATCTTTCAACATTTCTTTTGGTAACCATGGAAACAGGCCGAGATCAAGAAAGAATACTGGGACTACCATGGGCCACGCCTTCTTCCATTCCTAGAGAAGAGACTGGAGGGAAGCACTTCTGGATTCTTTGTAGGAGATAGCGTGAGTTTATATATATATATATATATATATTAAGAAAACATCTTGAAGTTCTCAACTTTAAGGCGTAGTAAATTAATGCAAATCCTGGGCATTTGATACTCATGAAATATCCGGCGCGTATTTTTAAGGTAAGGTAATTTTAATTTTAATTCCTTACAGTCCCCAAAACGTCATCTTTGCTTTATGGGTAAATCTTGGATGTGATGTAGAGAGAGAGAGAGAGAGAGAGAGAGAGAGAATGAGAGAGAGGGAAAGAGAGAGAGAGAGAGAGAGGGAAAGAGAGAGAGAGAGAGAGAGAGAGAAAGAGAGAGAGAGAGAGAGAGAGAGAGAGAGATTACATTACAGAGAAAGACTGACAAGGAGGGAGACAGACATGACCGAGGGAAGTCACGAACCACTTACTGTTTATTTAATACAATGTTGTCGGTTAACAGTCTCTTCTAATCTTCCCCCACATTAAAAAAAAATATCTCATTTAACTTTGAAAGCTGACGGTTGCAGACCTCTCTGTCTTCAACGCCATTGACATACTCAGCGACTGCGCTCCGGAAGAACTGACTTCCTACAAGAAACTCCTGGAGCACAAGGCTAAAATCGAGACCAACCCGAAGCTGACGAAGTATATCGGAGAGAGGCAGCTCGTCCCAATCCGACAAACTTTCCTGGGGATCATTGCCCTCAAAGAAAAGGAAAAATCCAAGTAGAAATTAGTTTCATTTTTTCATTTTGTTGAGAGCCAAAATGGGCATTGAGCCCTTCTGGCTCTCAGCTGATGAATGTCAACATAAGAATTATGTCGATCAATTAATCCACAATTATACGTAGAATTGTGCGCTAAACAATGTTGAGGTGATCACACCAGTCATAAACACATTGGCCCGAATTCACAAAGGAGGTTTGTCGACAAACCTTGGTTTTCGTACGTCATACGTTTTTACGCGTTTTTTACAAACCTGGTTTGTAAAAACGCGTCGAAACGCGTCATATGACGTACATAAACCTCGGTTTGTCGACAAACCTCCTTTGTGAATTCGGACCATTGTATTTGTCCTGCTCCAGTCCGTTTCTTTAATGATTTCACGGTGAACCTCATGCACAGGCTCTGTCGTTTAAAACCAGTAACCTAGACGACGAGCGAATATGACTTCGGTACTCGTTGGCATAGTAATAGTCAATAATTGGCGCGGGTGTGAGTCGAATCCGCTGCGTGACTGAGGATATGCACGTTTCTTATTCCAGATAAATTATCGGTATTATTTGATTAAAAAAGGAGCAAGTTCATCATTCATCATCGTATTAAGATTAATTATCCTTTTAATGAAATATCGGTCCGAGTGGATTATTAAAATTTATTCATATAGTTACAGCTCCGTCTCTCCCCCATCTCCCTTTTTAATTGAAAAGTTTGTGTATCATGATTTTCTATAGAAACCACAATAACTCATAATTTTGTATTTTATGCTGATATTTGCTATGTTCTGGTATTTACATTCCATTTCAAAATCTGACGTGTCTGCTTTCCTATTTCATTATCAATACTTCTATATGAAGAAAAAAATGCCAAAGGAAATGCCTGTTCATAATGATAAACTAATTGATTTTCATGTGTATGTTCTTTTTGCCTCATCGATTGCCATTTTAGTAATTGTGCATGTCAAGATTATTTTTCTTTTAAGCAATGTTTTGAGATTTGGGTCCCGACCGCTTGCCATCTTTTCAATCCATTAAAAGTAAGCTGGTTCCTTGTTTACATTGAATATTTCTGATAGAAATTGTTTACATCATGGTCAATGACGTGTGATGTTATGTCATATTAAAGTTTTTTCTGAAAAAAAGTTTGTCAACAAATGCTCTAATCATTATCCGATGGTCAATAAAAAGAATAACAAAAATGATCGATTAACTCTGATTCATAAATACGTCTGGAAGTGTTTCCTATGCTTTCTTTGTGTTTATGGCAAGACGATGACCAAGTAGGTAGTATCGTATGTTTTTTGTATAACATTTTAATCTAATTCGTTCCTCTCTTATTTCCTTTTCTACTGAACTTTAAGATTTTTCTGGACTTGTTATTTCACGCTCAAACAAAGGATACGTTTAGCTTTAATTTACACAAGCGGTAAACTAGCACATGAATTTGTTAATGATACTGCCGGGTATTGCCGTAGCGAAAGGGAGATTACGGTACACGTGCCCCCAACTCGGTGGCGAAAAAAATGGACAACGGGAAGAAAGAAAGAAAGAAAACGAAATGTGGAAGAAAAAAAAAGGGGAAAAAAAAGAAAAGGAGAAAACAAAGAAAGACAGAAAGTGATAAGGCCACGGAAACAAGTAAAGGAGATGACACGATACCCTTTGTGTGTCATACTAAATTTCTAGTGCCCCCGCAATATCTGAAAATATAAAAATACAGGGGTTACGAACTTAAAAACATATGGAAACGTTGTATCATCCGCTCAATCTGACTTGCGTGCATAGAACAAATACGCATTTTTGCATGAAAAAGTGAAGTTTTCTAAAAAGTGCGTTTCTTTCCAGCATTGGGTGCCCGGGAGTAGCTTGGGTAACCTTTTAAAAAGTACAATATTTAAAAAAAAAAGTGGCACTTTCCCTGTTCTTTTGTCGAAAAAACATAGTAATACAGCACAATATCGTCTCTTTTTGCGTTTGAGGAGAGCAAAACAATGGTAAAGTGATCACACCAGTCATAAACACATTGGCCCGAATTCACAAAGGAGGTTCGTCGACAAACCTCGGTCTGTCGACAAACCTCCTTTTGTTTCGACAAACCTCCTTTTGTTATTTACAAACCAGGTTTGTAAAAAACGCGTCAAGACGCGTCATATGACGTACATAAACCTCGGTTTGTCGGCAAACCTCCTTTGTGAATTCGGACCATTGTATTTGTCCTGCTCCAGTCCGTTGCGTTGATGATTTCACGGTGAACCTCATGCACAGACGAGCGAATATGACTTCGGTACTCTTTGGCTAAGATATTGTCAATAATGGCGCGGTTTGGAGTCGAATCCGCTGCGTGACTGAGGTCTGAGGGTGCACGTCCGTTTCTTATTCCAGATAAATTATCGGGATATTTTGATACAAAAAGAAGCACGTTCATCATTGAGTTGTACTAGTCTTATTAAAATTAATTTTCCTTTTAAAGAACTATCGGTCCGAGTGGATTAGTGAAATTCATATAGTTACAGCTCCGTCTCTTCCCCATCTCCCTTTTCTAATTGAAAATTTTGGGTAACATGACTAGTTTAAAACTAGTAACCTGGACGACCAGCGAATATGACTTCGGTAATAATAATAATAATAGGCATTTCTATAGCGCCGTCTATGTAGACAATTCTATTGGGGGGGGGGGGGCGGTGGGGTGTGTAGTGAGCACTATTTTTTTTTTGGCCGGGGGGGGGGGGGGGCATGTGCTCTCTGTGCCCTCCCTGAATACTACTATTATGAACAATGTAAATGCCAAAGGAAATGCCTGTTTGACAATGAACAACTGATTGATTTTCATGTGTATGTTCGATATATGCCATATACAATTATTTTGGTATTGTGCATTTCAAGATTATCCCTTTCTTTCTTCTATTGGGAGGAGATTCAACAGACTCTCGGGGTTAATTCTCTGTTAATTATTTACTTTTTATTTATTATTGTTAAATTGTACCTTTCTGTACGTAATAATTCTTGTTTCATTTCTTTTCCTATTTTTTCCTCATGAGTTACTCATCCCCTTTAATTTTGTTTCCTCATGAGTAACTCTCCCCTTTCATTTTTGCGAATATTTTAGTTTTGTTACTGGCCTTAGTTTGGATTATAATTTGAATATCTTTATTGAGTTCACACCAACTTTCAGAAAAACAGCCGTTTAGGCTAAGAAAGTTACCGTGTTTAATTAAATAAATGAAATGAAATAAAATATGGACACTACACCACTCTTTTTTTAAATTTTTAAATACGACCGTTGCTTTACCGTTATTTCAGTGAGAAAACTAATATCTTCTCACTGCGAGGTGTTATATTGATCATTTTGACATTAAACGTGTCCAGCGGAATTTTCTCCTGTTTTTCTGTTTTGTCAATTATGATGGTCATGTTTAAACAGATGAGAAGACAAGAAATTAAAGAAAATGAAAGGAAGCTTGATAGGAAAGAAAGAAGACAGATACAAAGAGAGAAAGAGAGAGAGAGAGAGAGATTTACATAGATAATCTGTTGTAATACGATCGTTGGAAATTCGAATATTGAGTATTGTTTATTTTTGTGTGACAAGCGCACAATGGTTTAATGTTACATCAGCCCATACTTTTTATCATATACAAATTCAAAGTTTGGTACACTGTAAACATTTCTCAGAATATGATGAACTTCTGCAAAAAGATGTCATACATATCCAAAGCTACCTCAACGAGACGCCATTATTGGGGCTTTTTTCATCATGCCTCCAGGCACAGTCTACCTGTACCCATTAGTTGTCGTGATATAGCGCCCTCTTTCGTATACATTATATTCTCTTTTGTTGGAATCAAGAGGCGAAGCGAGGGCTATAGTGTGTTGTGGTGCAAGGGTCCCCTCCCCTCAGTTGAATATCAAAAAAGGGAAGGCAGAGAGAAGAAGAAGCGTAAACAGGAAAAGAAGAAGAAGAGGAGGAGGAGGGGAGGAGAAGAAAAAACAACAACAAGAAGAAGAAGAGTCGCTTCCTATCATTCATCCATATAGTACGACATGTGCGGCGCCCCTTCATCGTGCATAAGCAGGGGCGGCTCTGGAATTTCGTTAAAAAAGGAAGGAGGTCGAATTCTCCCCAGATCTGACATACAAAAGAAGAAGAATAGGCAAAATAAAGAAAGGTGTATGAGGCAAAAACTGAATCACAAGAAAAGAAGTGATGATAACAAAAGGTCCATCTAATTATCTAAACATACAAAGAGGGTCCAATACACAAAAACAAATTAAAGGGGGGGGGGGGCTCTTGGATTCCCTTGACTCCAACTCACTTCTTCTAAGAAACTCTCTTTATATACACGTATCTACCCTTTAATTTCGTTTTTTGTGTGTTTGGTCATAAATTGATAAGCCTGCCCCGAAGGTAGAGTATCATATCGCTGCAAAGTAACGCTCTCTGAAAACAAACAATAGGTAAAACCATGAGCCTAAAACAGAATAAAAAATACCCCGCTTCCCAGCAAGCTTGCAGTGAAGATTTTTAAAACTAAAAACGGATTGAGTGATTCCAACTCAACAGGAAATCAAATAGCCCTAGAGCAAATTATTTGTGTATCATCTTAGAATTTATAGTTTGTTTCGAAATTTTGTGGAATGGAAAAGTCAGTTAGTTACATCAAGTCGGATTTGATACATGCATTTATAATTTAAGCAACGGGTTAGAGATTTTTCCCCCAAGAAATCAGATGAACTGATGAAAAAAGAAAATAATTTAAGATCTTACATTTCATAGGTAGAGCAGCGGCGTCGTAACTGGGAGGTTCCGAGTTCGAAACTAACTCTATGCGCTAGGGTCCTGGAGTAAGGCATTCCATCTTATTGCCAAGTCCCTTGTTGAGGACGTAAAGCCGTCGGTCCCCTGGTTGCTTACATCCTATTTCTTAGCAGCCAGATAACGCTATCACATTGATGGTGCGAGGGCCTTTTCATTAGTTTTTGTTTTATTGCAAAATTTTAGAAATATAAGGCGTTTTACAAAACGCCAATTCGTCCAGTGATACTAGAAAAACAATTTCCTGATCTTCATCGATTTGTTTACACCATCATTGATCATAAGTCCTGCTTAAAGTCGATCTTAGTCTTTGTGAAACACTCCCCTAGACTTCTAGGAAAAACAGAGTTATTAAATTAATGAATCTGAATAGAGCGATCCACCCGTATTATTTAAAGTCCT